TGTTGGTTGGATGGTTGCTGTTGTTGTTGTTTTATTCTGTTTTATGTGGTTGTATCTTATATCCGAGTGTGTATTTTTAACCATATTTGTTTCGGGCTCCTCCCCATGTAAGCTGCCACGAGTTTCTTCAGAAAGGTGGAGGTGGGGTATTAAAATTATTATTATTTGAAACACAACAAGATGAATCCACAGCAGACAAGGTCACTCTGCTGGCGGTTGTATTGGATCACACATTGGACCTTTCCCAAGTGTCTAGGACTGTGTGATGTATTGGTGAATAATGCGTGCAGATCCCAGTAAAGTGGCCTTTTGCAGCTGGCAGGTGGTGATTTTGTCAGCACTGATTGTTTTTAAGTGCAGGCCAAGATCTTTAGGCACTGCACCCAGTGTGCCGATCACCATTGGGATCACCTTAAGTTGTTTTGCTTCCAGTTGCCCTTCAGGCCCGTGCCCTGGTTGCTCAGCAGTGGGTCCTGGTTCCTGTAGCCCACTTGTTGACGGGTGCCCAGGAGAAGCACTCGCCATGGTCCTCGTTATCCTGGGTGATGACTGAGCCAGTATAGATTGTTTCACCATATTTAAAGGGGTTGGATGCTCTTAGTCCTACTTCTCAGTTGAGACCACTCTGGCTTGGTTGAACCTGCTGGTAGTTTACACTACTGCCAGCACAGCTCTCAACATTATTATTATTATTATTATTATTATTATTATTATTATTATTATTTTACTGACACAGAAGCACCGTGTGTCACAGCAAACAGATCTCTCTGGTGGATCTCGTATCACAAAATCACAAGTCGAACACTTCCCAAGCATCTTGGACTGTGTGATGTATTTCTGAATGATGCGCACAGATCCAAGTCAGGTGGCCTTTTGCAGCGGACAGATCGTGATTTGGTCCTATTGTTTCCAAATGCCGGCTGAGATCTTTTGGCATGGCACCCAGTGTGCCGATAACCACTGGGACCATCTGGTGGTTTATGCAATCAGAGCCGTTGCAGTTTGATTCTGAGATCTTTATAACGGCTGAGTTTTGCCTGTTGTTTTTCCTCGATGCGACTGTCACCTGGAATGGTGACATCAATCATCCAGACTTTTTTCTTTTCCACAGTTGTGATGTCTGGCATCATGATTGTTTCGGTTTCGGTCCAACTTACCTATCCGAACGTATCTCTCCTTACAAACCATCCAGAACACTAAGATCTTCTGGGAGGCCCTGCTCTCGCTCCCACCTTCCTCACAGATGAGTTTGGTGGGTATGAGAGAGAGGGCCTTCTCGGCGGTGGCCCCTCAACTGTGGAACGCCCTGCCTAGAGAGATAAGAACAGCCCCCTCCCTCCTGTCCTTGTGAAGAATGGTGAAAACCTGGCTTTTCGAACAGGCCTTCCCAAATATGGCATAGATAGGTGATATTATGGACAATCAACGATGCAACCGGACAATGATTTGAGATGGAGACACTTTGACAATGTTTTTAAATGCTATGTATGATTTTTATGTTGTATAGGGAGTTTCAGAAAAACATCTATTTCTGCTTCATTGACTATTCTAAAGCCTTTGACTGTGTGGATCATCATAAATTGTGGCAAGTTCTTGGTGGGATGGGCATCCCAAGCCCCCTTCCCTCTCTCCTGAGGAATCTGTACAAGGACCAAGTAGCAACAGTCAGAACTGACCACGGAACAACAGACTGGTTCAAGATTGGGAAAGGCGTACGGCAAGGCTGCATACTCTCACCCAACCTTTTTAACTTGTATGCAGAACACATCATGCGATGTGCGGGGCTGGATGAATGCAAAGCTGGGGTAAAAATTGCTGGAAGAAACGTTAACAACCTCAGATATGCAGATGACACCACTCTGATGGCCGAAAGCGAGGAGGAGCTGAGGAGCCTTCTAATCAAGGTGAAAGAAGAAAGCGCAAAAGCCGGGTTGCAGCTAAACGTCAAAAAAACCCAGATTATGGCAACAAGAATGATTGACAACTGGAAAATAGAGGGAGAAACGTGGAGGCCGTGACAGACTTTGTATTTCTAGGCGCAAAGATTACTGCAGATGCAGACTGTGGCCAGGAAATCAGAAGACGCTTACTTCTTGGGAGGAGAGCAATGTCCAGTCTCGATAAAATAGTAAAGAGTAGAGACATCAGACTAGCAACAAAGATCCGCCTAGTCAAAGCCATGGTATTCCCTGTAGTCACCTACGGATGTGAGAGCTGGACCTTAGGGAAGGCTGAGCGAAGGAAGATGATGCTTTTGAACTGTGGTGTTGGAGGAAAGTTCTGAGAGTGCCTTGGACCACCAGAAGATCCAACCAGTCCATACTTCAGGAAATAAAGCCCAACTGCTCATTGGAGGGAAGGATAGTAGAGGCAAAGATGAAGTACTTTGGCCACATCATGAGAAGAAAGGAAAGCTTAGAGAAGACAATGATGCTGGGGAAAATGGAAGGAAAAAGGAAGAGGGGCTGACCAAGGGCAAGATGGATGGATGGCATCCTTGAAGTGACTGGACTGACCTTGAAGGAGCTGGGGGTGGTAACGGCCGACAGGGAGCTCTGGCGTGGGCTGGTCCATGAGGTCACGAAGAGTCGGAGACGACTGAACGAATGAACAACAACAACATGATTGCTTTAATTTGTTGTATTTCCACTGGCATCGAATTGTTGCCTATTGTTAACCACTCTGAATCGCCCTTGGGCTGAGAGCGGTGGGATACAAATGTAGTAAATAAATAAATAAATAAATAAATATTGTGTTCCAAAACTTTGTCGATCTGGATTCGAAATACCTTTGCGGGTTTATGGGCCCCTTTACTAGTTCTTTCCTGCTGGCAGGTGGTCCTTGTGACATAAGTTCCAGTGAATCATCTGGGCCACCGAGTTGTGCCTCTGTTTGTAGTCCGTCTGTGGGATTTTCTTGCAACGGCTGAGGAGATGCTCCATGGTTTCCTCTGCTTCCTGGCACAGTCTGCATTTGGGGTCATCTGCTGATTTTTCCATCCTGGCCTTCATGGCCTTGGTTCTGATGGCTTGCTCCTGGTCTACAAGAACCAGGCCTTCTTCCGTCTCCTCCGTCAGGGTTCCATTCATGAGCCATCATCAAGTCTTCTCCTCGTCAACTTTTCCTTCAATCTTCTCAAGTAACAGCCCATGCAAGGCTTGGTTGTGCCAGCGGTCAGCTCTGGTTTGGAGCGCAGTTTTCTTGTACTGACTAATTGAAGTCAATGATTGGAAACTTCTCCAAGCACAGCAGTCAAAGAGTCGGTACAAGAAAACTGCACTCTAAACCAGAGCTGACAGCTGGCACAATCAAAGCCTTACATGGGTTCTTCCCTTTCCTTGACATATTCTGCCAGGGCATCGTGCTTTTTACTTTTATTACTTTCATTATTTTTGTTGTTGTTGTTGTTATTATTAATTTGGACGTCAACTCCCAGAATTCCTATCTGCCTACCAGTTGTGAGGAATGGTGGGAGCTGAAGTCCAAAATACCTGGAGGGAGGGAGGGAGGGAAGGAAGGCCCGAGTGGCCAGTCCCGCTTTCTGGCGAGAGAGCGAGATGTCCATGGTTTCCTTCAATTTTGTTAAGGAACTGCCCATGCCATGCTTTGTTGTGCCAGCTGTCCGCTCTGGTTTGGAGTGCAGTTTTATTTATTTATTTATTTATTTGGTACACTTGTATACCGCTAATATCTCAGCCTAGAACGGCGACTCATTGCGGTTTACAGCAGTTAAAACAATCTACAATTTAAAAACATATACACATAATAACAAATTCAATAACAAATTATTGGGCCACCAATAATAATCCCATATATCTCGAGTTGAAATCGCAATCCAGAATTCGTTGTCCATGTTTCCTGTCCTTAGTCATCAATATTCGAATTGCCACAGATTAGCCGAATGCTTGTTTGAACAGCCATGTTTTGAGTCTCTTCCTAAACACCATCAGCGAAGAGGCTGATCGTACCTCTATAGGGAGGGTGTTCCAAAGCCGGGGGGCCACCACAGAGAAGGCCCTGTCTCTCGTTCCCGCCAGCCGCACTTCTGAAGCTGGAGGGATAGAGAGAAGGGACTCTCCGGAAGATCTTAGGGTCCTGGTGGGCTGATAGGCTGAGATACGTTCGGATAGATAAGTTGGGCCAGAACCGTTTTCTTGTACTGACTCTTTGTCTGCTGTGCTTGGAGAAGTTTCCGATTATTGACTTCAATTAAAGCTGGTTCTTCCCTTTCCTTGACATATTCTGCCAGCGCATTGTGCTTTTTACTTTTATTATTGTTGTTATTGTTGTTGTTATTATTATTAATTTGGACGTCAACTCCCAGAATTCCCATCTGCCTACCAGTTGTGAGGAATGGTGGGAGCTGAAGTCCAAAATACCTGGAGGGAGGGAGGGAGGGGGAGGGAAGGCCCGAGTGGCCAGTCCCGCTTTCTGGCGAGCGAGACCCGCTTGGCCGGCCTGCCTGCCTTCCTATTGCTTGCCCCCCTGGCCCGGGGCCCCCTCCGCTCTCCAAGGTGCTGAACCCCCTTCCTCCGCCGCCGCAGTCCAGACGGAAACCCGGAGCGGAGGAAACGACACGGGAGTCGGGAGTGGGCAAGGCGCGCGCAGCCCGCCCTTTCCCCGGTCCCGGATTTCCGCGTGTCTGTGTGCCTGTGTGTATCCCCCCACCCCCCCGCTTCTTGAGTGTGGCCCCTTCCTAGCCTGGCCGCACCCCCCTCCATCCCTCCCACCCCCTCCCTTTGTGTGGGCGGGGCCTCCTTCCGCGTGGCCCCTCCTGCTCCTTCCGCGTGGCCCCTCCTCCTCCCCTCCCCGGAGAAAGAGACTGGGAGGCGGAGGCGGAGGCGGAGGAGGAGGAGGCGCCGCCGGGATGTGAGTTGCGATGGCGAGAGGGAGGCACCTGAACGGGGACAGAGGAGGAGGAAGAGGCCAGGAGGAGGCCGTCGGGGAGTCCCGGCTGGGGCGGAAGAGGCGCCGGCGGGAGGGAGTCTTTCCCGGCGGGGATGCGTGTGCGGCGGCAGAGGAGGGGCCTCCGTCGCTCGCCTCCCGGTGAGCCCCCGCTGCCCCCCGCCCAGCGTCAGCAGAAAGAGGAGGAGGAGGATCCCCGAGGGGCGCCCCATCGTCCACTCCTCCCGCGCGTCCTCCCGGAGGCGATGCTCCCCTGGAAGCGGCACAAGGCGGAGCTCTCCTCCCCGGGGCCCCCCTCGCCCCCGGCCTCCCCGGGACCCTCCTCTTCCTCTTCCTCGGGGGGCTCTGGCGGGGGGGCGGGGGCGGCGCTGCTTCTCCGCCGTCTCTTCTCGTCGTCGCGGCGCCGGGCGGGTCAGCGTCGCCGCCGGAGCTTCCGCGTGTCCCGGGAGGCCCCGTGCGTGCCGGCGCTGTACCTGGGCCACGCGGCGACGCTGCAGGCGAAGGGCGAGGGCTGCACGGAGGCGCCGGTGGGGCGGCTGTGGGCGCGGAGCCAGGGCGGGCGGCTGGGGGTGCGCATGCGCCTCAGCGTGGGCCCCCAGGGGCTGCGCCTGGCCCCCGCCCGGGAGGGGGAGGAGGAGGAGGAGGGGGGGAGAGCCCCCGCCGCCCCCCTCCCCCTCGGGGGACCCCCCCGCCCCTCCCCCGGGGACCCAGCTGTACCTGCTGCACCGGGTGACCCACTGCGCGGCGGACGCGCGCCTCCCGCGGCTGCTCTCGTGGGTGTACCGGCACGAGGCGCGGCACAAGGCGGTGCTGCTCCGGTGCCACGCGGCGCTCCTGCCCAAGGCCGCCCAGGCCCAGGCCCTCGCCCTCCTCCTCCTCCAGACCTCCGCCGCCGCCCTCGCAGACTTCCGGCGCCTCAAAAGGCGCAGCGACGCCCGCCACCAGCGGCAGCGCCTCCTCCTCCTCCGCGGGGGCGCCCCCCAACACCACCAACACCACCCCCCGGGGGAGGGGGAGCGGGAGGAGCAGAACCCCACGCTGACCCCCCTGGCCAAGGCCACCGCCAGCGCCCTCGGGTACAAGCCCCCCGCAGGGAGGGGACGCGGAGCACCACGACTCGGGCCCATCCCCGAAGACCCCCGCGGGGAGGAGGAAGAGGAAGAGGAGGAGGAGGAGGGGGACAGAGGGGGCACACCCACGCCCACGCGGGACAAGCGCCTGGGGAGGCTCCTGCGCGGACTCGGCGCCCTCGGCCTCGGAAACAGCAGCCCCGCACAGCCCGACACCGGGTGAGACAGCCAGGAAGGAAGGAAGGAAGGAAGGAGCCCCACGCGGGACAGGCCGGGAAAGCCCTGAGTGATAGGAAGGGGCCGGACTCGGGCACACCTTGACCCCCTCTAGGGATCCTGAGGGGCATGGAGAGCTCCCCCCCCCCTCCGCCTCCTGGCAAGACTGCCACCCTGGCCCACCACATCTCTTGCCAAGACCACCCTCGAGTCCTGGAGGGCACGTCGCCCACTGGTGGCCTAGGGCACTCCCACCTGCTCCTCTTGACGCCAGGAAGGAGAGCGGTCAGCGCCAGGAGGAAGGAGGCACCTGGCATGCTTGGAAAGCTTTGGATGGGACTGAGGAGGAGGAGGAGGAGGTGGACCTTGGACCTTTGCTCCCCACAGAGAATGAGGTGGGTCACCCAGGCCCTGAGGTGCATGGACACTCCCTCCCAGCTCTACTGCACCTGTGACCCACATCTATGGCGGAGACCACCCTCTCGTCCTGGAGGGCACGTCGTCCACGGGTGGCCTAGGGCACTCCCACCTGCTCCTGTTGACGCCAATGCCCTTGAACAGTGAAGCCAGGTGAGGAAGGAGGCACATCAGGGCATGCGTGGAGAGCTCTGGATGAGACTGAGCAGGAGGAGATGGACTTGGACATTTGCTCCCCACAGAGAATGAGGTGGGTCACCCAGTGCATGGATACACCCTCCCAGCTCTACTTCACCTGTGACCCACTTCTATGGCGGAGACCACCCTATATTCCCAAATTGTGTGCCACCCACTGATGGCATCAGGAAGGACTCCATCCATCCTGGGCCTTGAAATAAAAGTCATCTGGTGTTTCCCTTGGAGAAATGAAGCCAAGGAAGGAATGGGGGGGGGGGGTGCTCAGGACGGAGGAGGCATCCCCCCTCCCTCCCATAGGAATGTGTTCCTTCCTCACCCCCTTTGGACCGGCCAGAGAGGGTGCCTTCCCATGATGGCGCACCTGGATTATGTGGACTCAGCACCCTCCTCCTCAGACTGCCCACCCCCAAAGAGGACCTGCAAAGTGCCCCCCCCCCCACTGGGCCCAGGCTGCATGCATGGAGGGTCCCACTGCACACACCCCCACCCACCCCCATTCCCCTTGGGGGAGAAAAGAACCATCACAACAGCAGGTGGGGTGGGCCACCCCAGAAACATGGACTGTGCTGGCCTGCCCTGCCTGTGCCCCCCACCACCATCATCTTTATGGGGTTTTTCTTGGGGGGGGGGGTTGTTTTGCACACAACTGGAAGTAATAAAATACTGAAAGCACCCTCTCTCCTCCTTGCTTGGCCCTGCCATTTGCCCAGAGGGAGGGGGAGGGTGCATCCCATGGAACAGGAGGACCCCTGCACCAGGTGGGACCCCAAGGGCCACCCAGCCCCCCCCCCCTTTGGGCCCTTTCTGCCAGGCCCAAACCCTCCTGAGAGGGGGCCCCCAGCCTCTGCTTAGAAAGCTCCAGGTGGAAGCCAGAGGCACAGGAAGGGCCCCATTCCCTATGCCCAAGATGAGGGGTCCAGTTGGGCCTTTCCTGACAGCAGGGTGGACTAGGTGGCCTCTGGGGTGGCCCACTATTGATCCCTTTGCTTGCTTCCATGCCAATGGTCCAAAATGTGTGCAACAGAAGGTGAAGACTTTCTTGGTAAGGGGAGGGGGGCGAGAGGTCAGAAGCAGGCAGGGAAACCCACGTGTTGACCCCCCCTTCCCCCTCCTCCTCCATGGCTGCTTGTCCTGCCCTGCCTGCCTCCAAGCCCCCCCCCCCACTCCTGCCAGCTGTTTTTCCAGCCCTGAGTCCAGGAAGGGAAGAAGGAAGAGGCCACCTGGCAGGAATGCACCACTGGAGCCTGGGAGGGGCAGAGGGAGCCCCCCAGAAGTGGGGAAGAGGAGAAGGGGGAATGGCAGGGGCTGCAGCAGGCTAGGTCTGGTCCCTGGGCAGAGACTGGGCTCCTCTTTGGGGAGCATTTGTGGTGAAAGCCCCCCTCCCTAAACACAGGCTCTGGCCCTCCCTTCCCAAACAATAACAAGAGGTTCTTCCAAGCAAGAAAGCAGCTGGTGATTTGGGGGGGGGGGGGGGAAGAGGGTCAAGAGAAGGAAAGAAGGAGGGACAGGAAGGAAGGAAAGGAAGAAGGAAGGAAGGAAGGAAGGAAGGAAGGAAGGAAGGAAGGAAGGAAGGAGGAGGAGGAGGAGGAGGAGGAGGAGGAAAAGAGAGCAGGCTATTGGAAGGAAGGAAGGAAGGAAGGAAGGAAGGAAGGAGGGAAGAGCATCTGGGAAGCAAAGCTGGGTGTTGGGTGGGGGGAAGCAGCCCTTCTAAGACTCCCAGGACAGGGGCCCCTCATGCGTTGAGATCTCAAGGCCAAAGTCTCTGGACAATCATTCCCAGCATCGCCTAGCCTCTGGCCACGCTGGTTGGCTATCAGGCTAAGGGAAGGGTTCAGGGCTGAGACTACCAGGGTTATTTATTTATTTGTTTATTTATTTCTTACTATATTTATATACCAGAGGCGGCCCTAGGTAATTTTCAATGGTAAGCAAACAGTATTTTGCCCCCCCCCCCCCAACCAATCATTGATATATAGTTTCTGTTTGTCGTGGGAGTTCTGTGTGCCATATTTGGTTCAATTCCATCATTGGTGGAGTTCAGAATGCTCTTTGATTGTAGGTGAACTATACATCCCAGTAACTACACTTGCCGCACTTGCTCCCTTGCCTGGCCCGCTTTGGGTCCGGAGGCGTGCCTGAAGACACCAAAAGTCACCTCTTCTCCTGACTTTCTCCTCAGCCATTGGGACCAAGAGAGAGAGAGAGAGAGAGGTGGAGATGCCCACCTTTCCTGAAGGTAGGCGCAAAAACAAAGGAGGGAGCGGAGGTGGGAGATACCTCCAGCCGGAGGGGCTCTCTCTCTCTCTCTCTCTCTCTTGGTCTGAATGGCTGAAGAGAAAGTCAGGAGAAGAGGCGACTTTTGGTGCGCACGCCGGGGTCTTCAGACACACCTCCGGACCCGAAGCGGGCCAGGCATGGTGGCTCCGTCCCTTGGCCCACCCGCGGATTGGGGAGAGGAGAGGAGAGGAGGTGGGTGGAGCGCCGGGGGATCGGGAAAGGAAGCTGGTCATGGGGAAGGGATCGAACGCAGAGAACGATTGAGCAACGGCTGGCCGGGTGGAGCAGGAACGAGAGGGGCTAGGCGAGGCTCAAGGGCCCGGCCCCTTTGGGAAGAGGATCGCCCAGCAGCGAGGCAAGAAAGCCGGGCTCCCCCCGGACTGCTAGGGCTGTTGTGAGCTGAGGGGGCGCTCCTCAAGTGGCGGTCGAGGGGCATTTACAGAGGCGCCTCTGCGCCCCTGGCAAAAAAAAAGTGTTCTGCGACCGCTTACTTCGCGTAATGGACAAGCCGCCCCTGTTATACCGTCCCTCTCTGCCTGCAGGCAACTCGGGGCGGTTCACCGATTGCTACCATGACCATAGAATACAATGAAAACAGTAAAATATTATAATGTTTTCATTTGATTTTGGGCAAAGATGGCAGAGACAGTTGGGACCGACTGGCTTAACAAACAGGCCGCATGGAAGGAATGGTGGAGATGTGCTTTCAGGAGGGTCTCTCGCCCCCTTTTCTTTCACCCAAAGCAGCAGTGAAGCATCTGAAAGGTGAAATGGAAAACAATCTGGTTTTGTGTGGCTATAACTATATAAATAGCACTCCTGCCTGTGTGTTGCAGCATTGTGCATAGAATGGGATGGGATTTCCACGGATCTGTTGGGGATGCCTGCATTCACAGAACTCACTCCTCAGCCTATCCGGGGAATGTGGAGTTCACCTTCTGTTTGCATCTCCAGAGCAATTGAGTCAGGAGAAGAGGTTCCACCTACACCAGTGGTTCTCAACCTGGGGTCCCCAGATCTTTTTGGCCTTCAACTCCCAGAAATCCTAACAGCTGGTACATTGGCTGGGATTTCTGGGAGTTGTAGGGAAAAAAAACATCAGGGGAGCCCAGGTTGAGACCTACACATTAGGAAGAAGTTGCTGGTGGCAAGAGCTGTTTGCCTGTGGGACTCTGCCTCGGAGCTTGGTGACCGAGGAACCACCTTTGGAGGATTTCAAACAAAGACTGGATAGCCATCCGTCAGGGGTGCTTTGATGGTGTTTTTCCTGCCTGGCAGTAAGAAAGGGCTCAGACTGGGTGGCCCTTGGGGGTCCCTCCCAGCTCAGCGATTCTGTGATTTGTGCTATGGAGGAACCCACCAAGCTTGACCCCCCACCCCACCCCCCAAGCAGGGAAAACTAAACAATAACAAGAAGGAAGAGCCTCCCAAGCCAGGCACGAGGCATCTCCCTGTGACGAAGGCCTTGCTCCACAGCCGCCCCCCCACCCAAGTGTTGGGGGAGATGTTTTTGCAGGCAGCCCTCCTCTCTTCCTGTTATTCGTCCAGGTCCCAAAGTGTGTGGTATGCCTTCTGAGGGGGGGGGGGGGGGCACTGTTCGGCTCCCCTCAAACCCAACTGACTCCCCCCTCCCTGCTTGGACTGAGTCATCTCAGGGAAGAGGAGGAGGAGGAGGGGCCTTGTCCTCCTGCCAGAAATTCCAGCCATCACAAGGGTCCACCATTCCTCCCCCCCCCCCCCCCTCCAAATGCCTTCAGCTGCTCCGGCTGTGGCGGCTGCTGCTCGCAAGGCCCATTGGGCCAAAGGGGGAAATGTCTGCTTCCTGAGGAGAACAATGGACACCCCCCACACACACACACACACCGCCACTGGGACTCGATAAACAGGAAGGCCCCAGTTGGTTGCCGCAGAGCAGAATTCCAGGCAGCTGCACACTGTCATCCCTTTTGAATCTGGACGCACCACAGCTTTCGGTGGGAAGGAAGTTTCCGTGGATCCAGTCTGGGGCTGAGGCGGGAACTTTGGCCCCTTGGCCAGAGAGAGAGAGAGAGACTGGCTGCACTTCTCAGCGTCAGGCCTTCACTGACCTCCCCCCCCCCCCCTCTCAAGTGGAAGTCAAATGGAATGGGGCGGGGGGACACCTTCTCTTCCCAGGTTCCTTCAACCAAACTGGTGCAGGAGGGGGTTTGTGGGGTTCTGGCTGGGCTGCACTTGGGGGGCTAAAATGGGGGCCCCTCCTCCTCCTTCCTCTTTGGTAGCTCAGATTGACCAATGGATGTGCCAGAGAAACAGATGCAAAGAAGAATCATAGACTCATGGAGTTGGAAGGGCCCCCCAGAGGCCACCTAGTCCCACCCGCTTCTGCCAGGATTCTATCAGCAACATGGGAAGCCATTTCACTGGCTCCACGACAGTGGCTCTGTTGTCCCTTGTTCCTGTCCATCCTGGGCCTCTTTTTGCGCCCTTGCAATGTGGGGGGCTTCTGCACAAGGTCAGATCCCATGCAAGGAAATGGGGCTCCCAGGTCAGTCCAAGGGCGCACCCCACCTGCAGTGGGCCTCATGGGCCTCCAGGCAGGAGAGGAGCCTTCCCTGCCCGGCAAGATCCTGTGGCAGAGAATGTGCCTTTTGGGAAAGGGCTGAAGGGGCCCTCAAGGTGGACCCCAGCTGCCACCCCAAGGCTCACAGCAACTCCCTCTCCGGGCAAATCCCACCCACCCAGCTTGGTCCCTTTGCTGCCTTAGATCATAGAATCAAAGAGTTGGAAGAGACCTCGTTGGCCATCCAGTCCAACCCCATTCTGCCAAGGAGCAGGAATATTGCATTCAAAGCACCCCTGGTAGATGGCCATCCAGCCTCTGTTTAAAAGCTTCCAAAGAAGGAGCCTCCACCACACTCCGGGGCAGAGAGTTCCACTGCTGAACGGCTCTCACAGTCAGGAAGTTCTTCCTCATGTTCAGGTGGAATCTCCTTCTTACACTTTGAGCAGGAGATTCCATCTGAACATGAGGAAGAACTTCCTGACTGTGAGAGCCTTGCTCCTTTGGGTCGTCCAGGTGCCTCCTCCAAGGCTGCCTCCGCAAGGGAGCTGGCAGGACAGGTTCCCTTTGGATGGGGGGTGGGGGACAGGGGGGTGGACAGTGTCCTTGGCCCCTACGTCAGGAGGGGAAGACGTTGCTACATTGGCAAAGAGCCTGAGTAAGAACCAAAGGGTCTGAAGGCACCAGCATCACCAAGGTAGGAGAGAAGAGGCCCCAACCCCACTGCCTTCAGCTTCAGGCCGGTCTGGGGGCTCCCCTGTCCTCTCCCCCCCCCCCACCAATCCCCTGATCCATCAGGAAAGGCACAGAGGCTGGAGTCTGTCCTACTTGGCAGGAGTAGTGCTGAATTCAGAA